CTCGGAAGGCTGAGGCGGAAGGATCACTGGAGCCCAGCAGGTGAGGCTGCAGTGGCCGGGAGCGGCCACTGCACTCTAGTCTGGGCAACCGAGTGAGACTCCAACTCAAAAAAAAGAAGAAACAGGAATGGAGGGAGACATGAGGTAGCCTGCCTGGGTCACAGGGTACTGACGGACCGAGGTAGGAGTTGCACACAGGCGCCTGAATTGGGAGCATGTGTCCTTAACTGCTTGCTAACCTCTATGTAAAATATGGGTTGGGGAAATACACATGTGCACATGGTGTGATACCAGTCACAGCATTTCATGTCACAGCGAGAGCTGAGGAAGAATCATGCCTAAGATGGCATGATGGCAGCAGAGGCCAGGCCTCAGGGCTTAGGAAGCACATGCTAAAACTTTTTACCCTCCCAAGATTTAGGCAATTGAGTTTGGAACCTTTGTCTCTAATTTGTGGGGCTCCATTTGATTTATTGGAAAATGTACCCATGGTTTTGTATTTTGGGGTTTTTTTTTTTAGTCGGTCTCGCTCTGTTGCGCAGGCTGGAGTATAGTGGCATGATCATGGCTCACTGCAACCTCAACCTTCTGGGTTCACGCGACCGTTCCACCTTGGCCTCCCAAATATCTGGGACTACAGGTGTGTGCCAAAACACCCAACTAGTTTTTAATTTTTCTGAAGAGATAAGGTCTCACTATGTTGCCCAGGCTGGTCTCAAACTCCTGGGGTCAGGCAATCCTCTCGCCTCTGCCTCCAAAGTGCTATGATTACAGGCGTGAGCTAATGTGCCCAACCTCTTTCTATTTTTTTAAACCTTGTAGTTTGATGGACATACAAACACAACTGTATACATTTCACACATACATGGAGCTATATTGGCAGATGTCTCGCTGTTGTTGTTGAAGACACCCATCACTGCGTTCTTGCACACTTACAGTTAGGTCCACATCATTCTTTCTTTCTTTCTTTCTTTTTTGAGTTGGAGTCTCACTCTATCGCCCAGACTGTAGTGCAGTGGCCGCTCCCGGCCACCGCAACCTTGACCTGCTGGGCTCCAGTGATCCTTCCGCCTCAGCCTTCCAAGTAGCTGGAACTACAGGCATGCACTACCACGCCCAGCTAACACGTCATTCTTTCTAACGTCTGCTGGGACTCTAGCCCCTACTGAGGGACCTACAGGATGTTTCCAGACTCCTCCCTTTGAGTGTTGTTGCCAGGAACTCCTCTTGCAGTTGGCTCCATGTGTGCACACACAAGTTAGAGCTTTTTGACATTGAATGACTGATACTACATCAGTAACGGATCTCGTGCACATAGAGTGGCTTAGGGTCTTAGTTGGTTTGGATGCCTGTTTTGGAGGAGCCCAATGATAGCTTAGAGGAGTGGGCTTTCAAAAGATAACCCTTCCTTCTTTCAGTCTTCTCTCCTCCACCACTGCCCAGACCCAGTGGACAGAAAGTACAAAATAGGTCAGAATTGGGCATTTGACCTTTGCCATCATGACCTCAGCTGCCTTCCAGCTTTTCGGGCCTACTGAGCTTTCTTTTAGTAGCTACCATTTGAAAACAGATGGGTCTGTTTTTCTGATTTTCTCTTTCCTTGCTTTCTCTTTCTCTTGTCAGGTTGGTGTTTTATTTTCCATTCCGGTGTAGATTCCTTCCTCAGCAGAATCTGTGTCCACCTGGGGCCATTCCTAGCAAAGCTCTTCCTTCCACTCTCTCCCAATAGCACTGCCAAGTCCAAACCAATCATCGCAGAGCCTGAAATCCATGGGGCACAGCTGCTGGATGGGGTGACTGGCTTCCTAGTGCTGATGTCTGAGGGACTCTACAAGGCCTTGGAGGCAGCCCACGGGCCTGGGCAGGCCAACCAGGTGAGGTTGGGCCCTGGCAAGCTGGCGGCTGCAGAGCAGGGCTGGCCTGCAAGGATGATCGCTTCCCCAGCCACCTGGAACTCTGATTCTCGAATGCTGTCACCAGACATCTTCTCTGGGTAAAAGAAGCCCAGAGCTCTAAAACACCCATGCCACCTAAAAGCTTTGCTCATTCTAGACATGAAGCAATGTAGGTTCCCAGGACCTGAGAGCCCTGAAGGGAGGAACATGAGCTGGGAGTGAATTTCCATGGCACAGCACAGCTCTGGGACCACTGGAAGGGACCTAGGCCAGGAGGAGAGCCCAGAGAAGGGCATGGCCTATCGCCTAGGGCACTGCTGAGGAGTCGGTCCCGTGTTCCTTGCTTCCTGCCAGGGTCTGGGGCTTCACTTCCCCTCAGTGAGTGACAGATAATGTGCACTTATCTCTGGGATGGGTAGCTAACATCTACTTTTACAGGATCGTGGTGAGGCCAGGTGTAGGAAAAACGTCCTTAGCCAGTGGGAGCTGCATATTTTTCTACACCCCAGAGGACACACAGCAGACAGTCATCACCACAGCATGACTTCAAGACAGTCTTCCTAGGGATGATCTTACAGGGAAGCTACCTTTCCCTAACCTCAGATTGCTAGGTAACTAAGTTCAGGCTGTGTTCTTCCTTCTGTCTGTGATTCTTGTAGGAAGATAACCTTTTTTGCTTTGTTCTTTTGAATTAAAAATTATGAGGACAAAGTCTTAAGTGCCTAACTATGCCCTGACCCCTGTGTTTAGAGTTTTTCACCTATTTTGCCTTATTGTTCCTTCTAGCAACCTTGTACCATTGCGGGGCAGGGGCTTACTTCAATGTAGAATAGGGTACTTGGGGCCCACGGAGTTCAAGGTGTTGCCTGAGATGACACAACTGGTTAGTGATGGACTAAGCCCCCCAGGACCTGGCCCAAGTCATTTCCTTCACCCACCCCTGCCCTTCTGCCTCTAAGGGACTATGGGCAGCCATCAGATAGAGCATGTTGTGTTTGTGGCTTGAATATTCTAGACACTGCAATTTTTTTCTTCCTCTTTCTTTTTTTTTTTTTTAATATGTCTTCATGATAGAATTATCCAGTGGCTACTGCTAGGTTGTAGAATATAGGTGGTCCCTGACTTACGATTTTTCAACTTATGATTTTTTAACTTTACGATGGTATGAAAGGGACATGGATTTAGTGGAAACCATACTTTGAGTATCCATACAACCATTCTGTTTGTCACCTTCAGTATCCAATAAACTACATGAGATAGTCAATACTGTTTTATAAAATAGGCTTTGTGTTACATGATTTTGCCTAGCTGTAATGTAATGTCAGTGTTCTGAGCACATTTAAGGTAGGCTAAGCTAAGCTATGACATTAAGTAGGTTAGGGGTATTAAATGCATTTTCAACTTAAGTATTTTCAACTTATGGTAGGTTTATCTGGACATAGCCTTATCCTAAGTCAGGGAGCATCTGTATACTGGACAGTGATTTCTCTGAGGGCAGGACCTTGTTTTTGTTCTTTATCTTCAATTCCTGACAAAATAACTGGCATGTATATAAGCCTACAATAAGTTTGTTCCGGCAAAGAATGCTTAATAATAATGACAATTTATACTGGGCTTTGTAGTAATCTGCAGAGTGCTCTCATACCCGTTATGTTATTTAATTCTCATAATAACCCAGTGAGGTGGATATTATCCCCATTTTGGAAGTGTGGGGATAATATCCACCTCACTGGGTTATTATGAGAATTAAATAACGTAACAAGCAGAGAGATCACAGGGTCACACACCTCTTCTAGTGAGAAACTTCCAGAAGGATTATCCTGAATACCTTGGAAAGATCAGATTGCAAGCTTGGCTGGCAGAGACTTCCTTCACCTACTGAGCCAGTGACTCCCAAGTCTCCCGATTTGGGGCTCTGGACTACGGCCCACATCTCTGGGCCACCCCTTGTTCTCACCAGCTTCTTGCTTCCCTGCCCCAGGAGATCGCAGCCATGATTGACACTGAGTTTGCCAAGCAGACGTCCCTGGATGCAGTGGCACAAGCCGTGGTGGACAGGGTGAAGCGCATCCACAGTGACACCTTTGCCAGCGGCGGGGAGCGTGCCAAGTTCTGCCCACGGCATGAGGACATGACCCTGTTGGTGAGGAACTTTGGCTACCCACTGGGCGAAATGAGTCAGTCCACAGCAGCCCCAGCTCCAGGTATGTGTGCAGACAGACCGTGCCCTGAAACACTGCCCAGGCTGTAGATGGGCTCAGGGCAGCCAAGACAGGCGAGCTGCTTTGGGTGGAGCTGGAGTTGACAGGCTGGCTAATGAGGATCACACCTGCCCTGGCCACCTCCTAGAGACCTGAGTGTACATGTTATTGCAGAGCCGCAAGGCCACAGCTTGAGTGCCCACTGCGTGCCCAGCACCTCACCAGCATTGCTTCCTTCAGTCCCCATAAGACAGATGGTACCCCCATTTTACAGAAGAGGAAACTGAGGCTCAAGAATGAAGACCTAGATGAGGCTAGGCATGTGGACAGAGGGTTGGGTCCCAAAGACAGTCCCTGGGCTGTGTTGGGGGATGGAGTGAAATTTTCCTTTCTGCCTTTGTAATTCTGAGATCAAGTTGCTTGGGGAGAGAGGGGATTGTTTTCTTGTGTTCCCTCCCAGTGCTGCTTAGTGTTAAGGCCTTCAGTTCCTGAGGTCTACATTTCTTTTTCTTTTTTTAAACAAGCAGACCTCAGATAGAGCTCAGGCATCCACAGATGGGCTTGTTCTCCCACGGACACCAGGGTTACTGAAGTTTCTCTGGCTCTTTGTTATTGCAACCATATTTTTATTGGGTCACCTTCAACAAGAAGCAACTTATCCTCTGGATTAAAGTGTTCGTGGGAAGCTGGGTAGTAACCCTTTCGTTTGAGGCAACTTGGGCACTTGATTCTGTTCCTGTTTTGAGTACCAGTGGACTTTACAGCTGCAGGGAGGTTCCGCCTGGAACAGTCTCTGCTAAGGGACTCTCCTCTTGAACTGTCTCAAGGGCAGGAGGCCACGCTGGGGTTCGGGGAGCCAGGCACCGGGGCTGCCCTTGCTCTCAGTCCTGCCCCCACCATCCAGGGTCCCTAGCTGCTGCCTGTGCCCACCACTTTCTCTTTTCAAAGCCGCAGGGGGACGTGTGTACCCTGTGTCGGTGCCTTACTCCAGCGCCCAGAGCACCAGCAAGACCAGCGTGACCCTCTCCCTCGTCATGCCTTCTCAGGGCCAGATGGTCAACGGGGCCCACAGCGGCTCCACCCTGGACGAGGCTACCCCCACCCTCACCAAGTAAGCCTCACCCTCACTCCACCACCCCCAGGCCTGCCACCCATGGTGTTCCAAGGCACAGCTTGCAGTCCCTGGGCAGAAAGGACTGCAGGGCCAGGTCCTGCAGCTGAGTAATCTTAGATGAGATGCTCTGGGGTCTTGTAGCCCTCAAATTCCCCAACTCCATTCGTGTGAGAAAGGTCTCCCTGGAAACTGAAGCAGGAAGAGGCAGCACTGCTGCTGGGGATAGGTGGGGTTTCCAGCCAGACAGCCAACGGTGATGGCCTCCTGGTGGTACTTTCTAGTGGGCCCCATATACTAGTTTTTATTCCATGGAAAAGTCTCGTTTTCTTCTCTCCATTTTGGGGCATGTGATGTTGAGTGTCCTTCCTGTGGTGTCCAAGCTTGGTGGACATTGTTTGACCTACACAGACTTGTCAGAGCTCTCTGGCTAAAATGCCCAATTTTAGCTTTGAAATGAGTTCTCTAGTTAAGGGGGGTGGAGGCTGGGTGAGAGGTAGAGGCAGTCTGGGGTGGGGGGTGCAGGCAGGCCCCCTGAACCACAGACCTGCCTGACAGGTCTGGAGTCTGCCCCACCCCCTTCACTTCTACGGAATGTGCACCCCCCACGCCCACCACACCAGAGTCCTGGATCTGGTTTCCACATTCCAGCCCTGCACAGAATAATAGAGATGCCACACCCAGCACACTCAGAATGGCGCCCAAGCAGGATGTGGCCAATTAGCTGGGCCCTCAGGGAGGGAGTGACCCTGTCTGCATCCATTGCTGGGCCTTCCTTTCCCCCTACCCGTTGCTGCTGCCACTGGGCAGGAGGGGCGCACTGGGCAGCTGAGCAGCGCCATGGGCATCTTGGGGACAGCAGGGGTGGCCTCTCCACCAACCCTGCCTGACTGCCTGGAGGAATCCTCCAGCTGTGTCCACAAAGCGCTGTGAGTGCTTGACCCAGACGAGGCCAGACAGCCTTCTGCCGTGTCCCTGTCCCTTGTAGCCTCCCCATCCCTCCAGCATCTGAGCGGTAGTGCTGATGCTGGGCAGCACTAACCAGCGCTTCCTGGCTGTTCCACTCCAGTTGACAGAAGGTGGGTGCCTGTCCCCACCCGTCTGATGAGAGGGGAATGACAGGGAGGGAGCGAGGAAGGCTTTCTGAAAGAAGACTCCATGTCTACTGGTGCTGAATGGGCCAGGGTGGGGAGCTGGGAGAGATTGGAATAGACGACTGGTAGCTCAGCGCTGCCCAGCATAGTGTCCTCTGATGGGGGAGATGTGCCATGTCTGGGCTGTCCAGCAGTGGCTACTGGCCACACATGGCTATTAAGCACTTGAACCGAGTGTTTCGTCCTATTTAACTTTAAGTAGCTTTGTACAGCTAGTGCTTTAAAAATACATTTGACTGTTTATCTGTCCCCAAGAACATCTGACTGGCCTGGCTCTTATGGTCACTTTTGCCAGAAAGATCCATGACCCAAGGGACTGGTAGAGACAGGGACCACTCTGTCGCCAGGCTGGAGACCAAGGCCCCCATGACCTAGCTGCCCTGACTGACTCCCCTTCTCTCGTCTGCAGCCAGAGCCCGACCCTAACCCTGCAGTCCACCAACACACACACCCAGAGCAGCAGCTCCAGCTCCGATGGGGGCCTCTTCCGCTCCCGGCCTGCCCACTCTCTCCCGCCTGGCGAGGATGGCCGCGTGGAGCCCTATGTGGACTTTGCCGAGTTCTACCGCCTCTGGAGTGTGGACCATGGCGAGCAGAGCGTGATGACGGCCCCATAGCACGACCTGAGCAAGGCCTGGTGTGGGGGCAGGACAGGGTCAACCTTGTCTGACACTTCCTGGTGCCAAGGCGACCAGTGAGCGCCCCATCCTCGGCCTCCACAGACTCTGTCCCCATGCTCTCAGGGCTGATGAATGCAGACCAGATCCGTGGTCCACACCTCATCACTGCACAGGAGGCTGGAGGCCACTCCCTCCTGGGCAGCCTCTGTCAGAACTATTGCCGTTTCTCAGAACCAAGGGCCAAGCCTGGAACCTGTCGTTTACCTGCAGGTTCCCTCAGCAAGTGCAGCAGGACTGGAAGAGGTTGTCTTGGGAGCCCCAAGGGCCACAGGCCCAACAGACCCAGCTTTCTCAAGGCCACCCCACCACATACACACACTGCCTCCCTGGACTAATGGCCTATGGCCACTACAAGTGCCCCACCACTTGGAATGGTGGTCCCTGCTTCTCCAGCCTCTCAGCCCTGCGCTTCTAAATCCAGAGTGGAACCCAGGCTGAGGGTGCACCTGTCTTCGGCCCCTCCCTGGACCCCCCCAGTTGTCAGAACATCCAGGGAAGCACCAGGGCCTGGGATGACCACAGGGCAGGGCAGGCGGGAAGGAACCGGAGGGAACAGTCAAGCTGCTAGAGGAGGGCTGCAGGTGGCGGACTTCCCAGAGGCAGGCGCAGGAGTGGCGAGGACGTGTCCTGACAGCTGCATCATGGCCACTTGTGTCAGGCTTATGCCAGCGTGAATGGTTCTGGCCTGTTTTCCCTCTGGCACTGGGAGGCCCATGGGCTGGGGAGCCACCAAGGTACTGGCTGCAAGGTGACAAGCGGGTCGGGAGTCAGGCAGCAGCACACTAGAGAGGAGTGGAGAATGGTCCCGAGGGGAAGGGGTTCTCTGAGACCTGGGGCTCTGGGAAGCTGAGGGCTTTGGATGTGTGCATGGTTTTTACAGACACATAGGAGATTACCGTTCCTGTTTTCAGCGGAGGCAGCTGACCTGGAGAGAGGAGCCAGAGCTCACACACGGGGCCATTTCATCAGCATCCAGGGCCCCATTGGATCCTCGCCCCTCCCCAGCTCCTTGCCCCATGACACCCCAGACACAGCTCACCAGGGGCAGGCTTCCGGTGTGCTTGGTCTCTGGAAAGTCCAAGGCCAGCCCCAAAGCCCCCTGCTCTCTCTGCGGTCTGGGAATCCCATTTCTCTGGGACAGAGCAGGCCCAGTGTGGTGCCAGGGAGAGGCAGAAAGCCACAGCAGAAGCTGAGAATACATCGGTTCTCAGCAAAGGGCCATTGCTGCAGCCACCTCCACTTTGAAGCGGTCTCTGTTCTGCAGGTGAGCAGATGTAAAGTTGGGCACAAAGGGAATTCTCTTCTGAGAATGTCTCTGTGATGGCGTTTGGTCTCTAGAAATAGGATCACTTTTGTAACACAGTACAGAAGTAATAAATGATGGTATTACACGTGCTGTTGCTCACGGGTCCTGTAAACTCCTGGTCCTGGGAGGCGACGCTTTCCCTGTTTACTGCCCTGGAGGTTGAAGAACTAAGTTCACCAGGCTGCTGAGTGGTAGGGCTGGGGCTGAATACAGGCCTCCTGGCTGCAAGTCACACTGCTACCCTCAGCCCAGAGAAACATGGCCTGCCTGGCACACTGGGTCCCTGCTCGTCCACGTACATAGGAAGGGGTCGACAGTTTTCCCCGCTCAGCCCGGAAGCCGTGGGAGGGCTGTGGCACCAGCCCCACGCTTCCTGTGCGGCCACCCAGTGCTTGGGTCACCAGAGCAGAGGCCTTGCCCTCTCCAGCCTTTGCTTTATCTGCCTTTGGTGAGAGATGTTCTATAAATACTAGTCCAGAGTGCAGCCTGCTTTCTGGGACAGAAGGACTCTCCTTCTGAGAACAGCATCTACAGCCGAAAAGAGCGCAGCATCTGCTTAGGAGCAAAGCCAAGCTCTGTCTGGTGTGGTCAGAGGTCCAGGGCGCCCCTCCCCTCTGCTGGGCAGGGCTTCCTTTCACTATCTGCCCTCCTTGGCTCTCCTAGCGGAGCCCTCAGGGTCTTGACCACTGTGGCCCCTGAATGCTCCTGGAGCTGTACCTAGCCACCCAGGAGAGACGTGAAGAACTGAGGTATAGACAGGTTCGGGCACAGGCCTGGGTCACACGTGGCCACTGTCCAACCCTAGGCCCGGCCTCTCCTACACCTGCTTGGCCTAAGTGTATGGGACTGAGACACTGCCCTGTTGACTTTGTGTCCCTGTCCCTGTCCCTGTCTGTACTTGAGCCTGTCTCCTGGGGACACATGGAGGTAAGAGGAACACTTTCAGCCTGTGTTCCCTTTGGTGGAGGAAAGGGGGAGCTTGGGAGTTGGTTTGAGGACTAAAAAGGACAAAGGAGCCGGGCTTGGTGGCTCAGCCTGTAATCCTGCACCTTTGGGAGGCTGAGGTGAGTGGATTGCCTGAGCCCGTGGGTTCGAGACCCGCCTGGGCAGCGAGACCCCATCTCTACAAAAAATCAGCCGGGCATGGTAGCGCATGCCTGTAATTCCGGCTACTTGGAAGGCTGAGGCGGAAGGATCGCCGGAGCCCAGCAGGTCGAGGCTGCGGTGGGCAGGGGTGGCCACTGCACGCCTGTCTGGGTGACAGAGTGAGACTCCAACTCAAAAGAAAAGAAAAAGAACAAAGGGTCAAGACGAGGAGAATGAACCAGTGCGGCCAGGCAGAGTGTGCAGCACAGGCGAGTCCTGCCCAACTCTCCCCGTGGTGTCTGACAGGGTGGCCGAGGTGGCCCTCCCCAGTCTTTGTCAGCCTCCACAGGGGAGCACTATTTCCCCGAGACTGGACCAGACAGAACCAGAGACCCCCCCACCTGACAGCTTCCTGTGCCCAGTCATCCCTTGGAGACATCCAGTCCCTCCCAGAACGAGACTCCTTGAAGGCTTGCTTGAGGCCCTGGCCCCCTGGGAGCTTGTCCTGGCCGAGGCAGGTGGGGGTGGGGAAGCCCCATAGGGCCCGCAGACCATCTTCACTGGGGCTGTCCATTGTGCTTCCAGCCCTGGTCTGGCCCTCAGTCATCGCATAAGCCAGGCAGAGTGGCGGAGCAGGCACCCCGAAGTGCCTGTGGGTGTCCCCACCAGGGTGAGCAGCAGAGGACCTGTCTGGAGCCACTTGGGCCACTCTGATGTCACAGGGAAGAGTACCTGGCTGTGCTCTTTGCCCGGCTGGCTCCTTGTCCCCCAGGG